TGAACGTATTTCGAACTTTTCTGATGCAGCTGGCTAACTCATTAGGGCCACCTTCTACCCAAACACCAACCTTTCTTGGCACGAGCATTCTTATAATAATGTTAGACATAGAGTATTTCCATTATAAACAATGACTGTAAAATAAAATGTTTACCAATAATCTAACAGGTTTATGTATTTGCCCAATTTCATACAGGGAATTAAAAGCAGAAAGCAACTTTAGAGTCCTTTGGCAGTACCTCCATATACCTATCAGAGATTTGTACTGTCAAATGCCATATTCTCTTCAGGAATCATGGTGTGGCGCTGTAGGATAATCACTGGACTGCTAACCACGAGGTCAGTGTTTCAAACTCACGGCTGATCCTCAGGAACCCTACACAGGGTTGCTATTGGTAGGACCTGACTCGATGGCACTCAACAACAACTGAGCATGTGTTGTTTTTGTTCAGTCATTGAATTAGCCTCTGATCCTATCTATGCACAACAAAATGAAACACTGTCTGATCTTGTATACTGTCCCATGATTTGTTGCAGATGGAACCATTGTGATTCATAGGGTTTTCATTGGCTGCTTTTTGCTAAGTATTTATTCATAGTCTGTCTTAGTCTGGAAACTCCGCTGAAACCTACCCAGCAACAGAGCCGTAAGAAAACCTCCACTATCACACTGTGTGGCGGCTGTACACCCACACACTAGCTGGGAATGCAACCCAGTCTCCCACATGGAAGGTGAGGATTCTACCACTGAACCATCAATGCCTCAAGCATGAATTACCTATGATCATTTGCCCATAAAACAAAAGCAGACTTCTTAAGGAAATCTGGGTTCCATTAAGATCATAGCCACCAACTCCAAGTCTTTCCAACTCATAGTTTCCAAAGAGTCACTGGTGGGTTTGAACTTATTCTACAGCACCCTACCAGGACTGATTATTAATTCCTATTGAAAAAAAAGTCTAATGAGAGAAGAGAAAGAGATTTGTGTGCTACCTGTTAATCCCCCATCCCTCCCAGGCTGTGATTCTGAATTAATGAGCCTGTTACAAGGTATCTAATAAAAATGAGTACAGGAGAGATAGGGTTTGGAATCTGCCACATACTTGGGTTCAGGATTGAACTGATTTCACCTATGTCTATCACATGCTTGTTTTCTGTCTCCAGTGTCTCCTCACTACCAAAGCTCACCCTTTTTTCCATCTGGGAAACTTAGCTCCTAAAATGCTCCCATCAATCAGCCCGAGGACGCTCTTCCCGACAAAGTGTCTGCCAGTTTGACGAAGCACAAGTAGTCACTAGTTGGAGGATGCCTCCCACACTCTCTAGAGCTGTGTGTTTTCCTAACCTGCCTAACCACACAACTGCAATTTGGGATATTTATACTTCCCTTAGTTTCTATGGGATATTCGCACTACTTTTACAGAACTGCGCATCGGACGCTGAATATGATATGATATGGTGGAGAACAGAAGTTTTCTCATCTTGCTTATCGATCTACTTTTAATGTTGTTTGTTTGGATTTTTGCATTTTGACCTACTTCATCTGGGTGCCGGCTCAAAAAGTACACAAATCAAAGGCACACAGGGTATAAATGTTTTGTTCCCAAGTCCTCATCTGATAAGCTTCTGCCTCTTGCAGAGTCCTGGTGTGGCGCTGTAGGATAAGCAAGAGTCTGCTAGCCAAAAGGTGGCCAGTTCAAACCCACCAGCCATTCATCAGAAGCCTTATACAGGGTTCCCTATGAATAGGAACCAACTTGACAGCACTTAACAATGACATGTCAGTACTGTGCCCAATATCTTCAAGACTCTGAATTTAAGTGTAGCATGGGAGGAGAAGGACAGAAAAGAAGGTACAATTAGCAGAAGCCAAAGCACTGGTAAAAGCAAAGGAAAGGAGGGAGCCCCTTTCTCATAAAGTTCCAGTTGTGAACACACCCACGGACTACAGCGAAAAAGCTCTGTGCGTGGGCACAGGTGGGTCCCAGCCTCTCTGGCGAGCTGCAGCTCCATCAAGGAGCCTGAAAGAAGACTTTCATTGCTGTTTGCTGCTTTTCTTGGCCAGTAGCCATGGAAAACATTTGCAGGTGGCTTGGCCAGATTTTGACACTTAAATATTTGAGGTTGTGATAAAAATCAGAATATTACTACAATATGGTTCTGTGCAGCCTTGAGGAAAAAAAAAAAGAAAAGAAAAGAAAGAAAGAAAGAAAGCTATCTGCAATTTCAAATGCTCATTTAAAGACACATTCTCCAGAGGAAACTCCTGTCTTAAAATAAGTATTCATTTCCTCTTTGCTGAGAGAAATGAAAGAGCAAGCCATCCCCAAATTGTACCACCTAGAGTTTAATACTGAATCCACTGGTGAGATGGGTTGGGCTGTTTCTTGCTGAGCCCCCATGATAATCCGGGTGAGGTTTTGGATAGGTCACATGGAGAAAAGTGGAAATGACAGGATGTGTGGGTTTGAAACAACAATGGTAAGCACAACAGGGAAGAATCTAAAGAAAAGAAACAGCCTCCCTCAAGCTTGGCAATGAGACAGAATCCTAAAAGTGATAATTATCTCTTAGGACACACCACGAGGGACATACAGCACCCCAGCATCGGGAATAAATTGGAAGGTGGGATGGGTCGGAAGGTCATCTGAACCGCAGAAACATTTCCACTCGTCCACACACAGTGACCTAGCCTACATATGTCACCCAAATGGACATGACACGCTGGATAAATTCAGGACAGAGGCAACCGCCCATCTCAGCATTTACTGTTAACCCTTGAAAGATTGCTTCCCAACAGCCAGCCTTGTACTGGCTCAATACTGAGAGCCTATGTGTGTGTGAGGGGGTGAGGGAAGGACTCCAAAGGAGGAGGAAAATCATAAAGCTGCTAGTAAGCATTTTGCATTTTGGTGTTTTGTTTGTTTTCTCCTGGAAAGAAAAGTAAAATAAGTATAATTAGCTGGCCTAACCAAAGTGGAGTCCTGGTGTGGTGCCATAGGATAAACACTGGAACACAAGATCAGTTTGAACCACAAGGCCGGTGGTTCAAATTAACCAGCCACTCTTCTGAAACCCTATGGGCCGGAACCGGCTCGATGGCACTTAACAACAACAAGGAACCAAAGTGAACAGTCTTTAAAGAGCCCATCCCACCCTCTTAGCATGTTGTAGGTTCTTGTGATAGATGTAGGTCTTTTGAGAAGATGTCCTTAGCAGACACATTTGCTAGGTTAGCCTTGGCTTCTTCAAACAAAGCCAAACATTCAAAGGATCAGATTAATGTTCTGTTTTTTGAATGGCAAACCAAATGTACCCATGGAAAAGTCAAAAAAGAAAAGAAAAAAAGCCATTAACCTGCAATCCCGTTGTTAAGGTGGGTTATCATACATCACTGCCCATCCTAATCAGTTGAGAAATGTGAGGGACAAAGAACACCCCCTAGAATGTACCTCCACTGTGTAGAAATAAGCCAGCATTCGCTTCTGGTCTGGGATCTTTACAAACATCAAAAATATATGCATTGACAAATTTGGAGGCATCTTCATCTTTTTTAATCACTATATCCTGTAGTCAGCAAACTGAATTCTGATGCATGTACCAAACACAGCAAGCTCCTCTTCCTATTTTAAACCAAGAATCCTGGGAACTTAACACAACCAGTTTTGAGCATCCAAAAATATAAATTTATTGTTATTTTTTGGGTTTAACTCTTATCTTTTCTTCCAAAGAACCAACCACTCTTGACTCTTTTCTTTCATCTTCACTCTACTCTTATGTGGCTGAAAAGGCAGATAACATCCCCATTCTGAGATATGGATTCTGAGACAATGAGTGAATGGCATAAAGTCAGAAAGTAAATCTGGAGGAAAACTGAGAACCTGACACTTCAGCATTCTTAAGGGTGGGGGCACTGTGGTTTTGTGACCAGGGCAGTTTTTGAAAGCAAGGGACTGGCGGTTCTTGCATCAACTTCACTGAGCACATCTGGATTTGACTCACTCAGTGCCTTAGGCAGTCTCTAGTCAGTGCCAATGCTACCACCCCCAACACACATTTCTTTACATTCCCTGGGGTTGGGGCAGTGTAGCCTCCACTTGAGAACCATTGGTTGGCCACACTACTCCTTTCTTGTAGATCGTTAAAGACTTCCTAGTCAGCCATAGCCCACCTAGAATCTTCATTTTACATTCCACTTTCTAGAGCAGTTGTCCTCGAACTTAAATTTCCATCACCTGGAGATCCCTGGGATCTTGTGAAAATGCAGATTGTAAATCAGTAAGTCTGGGGTAGGGCCAGAGATTCTGCATTTCTAAGAACCTCCAGGGTCTTCAGACCACATGCTCTGAGCAGCAAGGGACTAGTGCTATTGGTGGTAACATGAGGCAAGTGAGCCTTCTTTCCATCACATGATCCAAAATGTCTGCCACTCAATGACAAGACAGTTCTACCAAGTTCTTGTCATTTTACGTACATATGAAGAAGAATATGGGCTTTCTTTGTTTTGTCTACTCCAGTGTAGACCAATGTTGAGGAAGGAAGAACCTACAAGGAAGAGAAGCCAGAAAGAATGATCAGAGGGAAGGAGGATATGGAAATTCACAGAAGCCTCAGGTATGGACTTGGTGGCTTCTAATAAGGGAGGAGCAGGCTGGTGAAATTTCACCCAACATCATGAAACATGTGTTCTGAGCACTGGTGGCCCTGGTCACCAACAGCCCCCGAGGGTTCCACTGTCATCTTATACCTCACAAACCTTGTTTGAGAAACGACAAAACAGAATAACTCAACTCTTTCCCACAAAGCCCAGGACCAAAATACACAGATTCTACCTCCTTCCCTCACAATAAAAAAGATCACTCTGAACCTCCAGGCAATGTCATACCAGTCAGTAAAACCAACTCTGCTCATGCTATCCAAGCACCAGTAATGAGAAGAAAGTCCAGAACATTCTCTGAGTTCCAGCCAGGACCCAGAGAAAGCAGAGGAGGTCTCCTTACCCGATCTGGCGGTTGGTGGAAGGGGCCTGAGTGATGACAGAGCTGGACTGAGGAGACGGCATGGCTTGCTGAATCACAACGCTGGTGTCGTGGTTGGGCATCCGGGAGCCACCAAGCTGGTGAGCTCCGGGTCCTGTCATGGCTCCACCAACTGTATTATGCATCGAGATACTCTGCCCAGAGAAGACAGAGGAGAAAGGTAAGGAGAAGTAAACGTTTTATTCTATTCTCTAGGTCTCAAAAGCCAGGACCAATCAACTCTGATTGTGTTACCAAAATAGAGAGTTACAGCTTCTGGCAAGATTCGAGCCCATTCATCTAGTTTTTAACAAATGGCTACAAGGTGATGAAAAATAACTATTCACCCTTACTGTAAAGCAGATGGGAAAATATCTTGAAGTTCACTAATCACTCTGCCACCATTCTGATGTGAGATTTACATCAGAGAACATGCTTTCTCTGGCTTGCTATGATAAATACTGCATTTGAAAATTATTTTTGTGGTAAGCACATAATACTGTAACTTAGTCAATTACCATGCTGCATCCTACTTTGCATGACAAGCACACTGGGTTACTTGCTCATTTCCATTCCAATCCAAGTGGGCAACATACTTTTTTTTTTTTTTTTATAGAAAACTGCTACTTTTCCAAACCACAATCTGGGTAGCCATGATATTAGCTGCACAATCTGTGGAATGAGGTTAGAAAATTGGAATAAAGGGCAAGGTGTAACAGTTTTATGGAATACTGATTGCTTATGACTATCTTTTTCTCTAGACTGTGTACTGTTTGTGTTTACAACACCATCTCCTGGTGCCCAGCATGATGCTTGGCACATAGTTGTTATTGCTGTTAGTTGCCAATTGAGTTACAGTTACAATTTATGGTTACCCCAAGGACAATGCCATCTTTATGTTGTGGCCACTGTGGATTTTGCATGCCTTCTAATGTGGGCAGCTTATCTTCTCATAATATGACAAGATAATTTATGTGATTCATAAGGTTTTCGTAGACTAACTTTCAAAAGTAGATCTCCGGGTCTTTCTTCCTAGTTTGTCTTAGTCTCAAAGCCCCACTGAAACTGTTCATCATGAATGTCTTTGCTGGTATCTGAATTACTGGTGGCATAATGCTGAGAACAGAAAAACTAGATGGTGCCCAACTACCACTGCTGACTGCTCTGAAAGGGATTGCAATAGGATGTCTGCAATAGAAGGGGAGAAAAATGTGGAGCAAAACTAAAAAAACAAAAAAGATGAGGCTTATTGGTTTGCTAGAGACTAGTAGAATCCTAAGATTATGGCTCTTAGATGCCTGTTGGGCCCCAAACTGAACTCACTCCCATGATTAAAATTTCAGTCAAACGACAGACCTGTGAGATGAACAACAACACAGAAAGGTATGTACTCATTAGAATAATCAACCATAGGAGATCAAAAGGCCAGCTTTACAGGGATAAAGCTCAGAAGACAGGAAGGGATAGAGGAGAAGAACAAAGTGAAACAGTAACACAGGGAGACAGTGGGAAGAGTGTTGTTACATTGTGGAGATTGTAATCAACGTCACTTAAAAAAAAAAATGTGGATGCTGTTGAATGTAAAACTGATGATCTGCCCTGTAAACTTGCACTCAATTCACAATAAAAACTTTTTTTAAAATGTGGATGGATTGTCGAATGGAAAACCAATTTGTTTTGTACATTTTCACCCAAATCACAATTAAATATGTATATAGAAAGAGAGAGAGAGAGAGTGACCGAGAGGGGTAGAGAGATAGAGAAGTTATTATGGCTTGCCTTCCAAAATGAGAGCAGCATGCAAGCCACCAGGATACAACAGATAGACAGATTGTGACTTGGTGCATGGTAGACATTCTACAAACATACACGGCATAAACCAGGGAATCAACAAGATACCTGAGTCACTTGAGGGATCTAAAATTATGTATTTTTCTGTTGACTTACTAAAGGGATCTTTGTTTAAAATTCAAAAGTTGGGTGACATATGCAATTTAAAGCTGGCTTCATAGACAGGAAAGTCACTGGGGCATCCTAAGAAAATTTACAGAGGCAGAAGGGAGCTGATTCATATCTTGAGGCTGAAACATGAGAAAGAAATTTTGAACTAGTAAACAAAGGAGCCCTAGTGGTGCAATGGTCAAACACTCAACAATCCAGATCTACCAGCTGCTCTGTGAGACAAAAGATCTTCTGATCATCTCCCTTAAAGATCTTTGTTGTTTAAGTGCTGTCGAGTCGGTTCCAACTCACAGAGACCCTGTATAGTGTATCCGAGGAGTAGTTGGTGGGTGTGAACTGCTAACCTTGTTGTTCTCAGTCCAGTGCTTATCCTACAGCACCACACCAGGAGTCCATACAGATAGAGCTTTGCAAGCCCTATAAGGCAGTTCTACTCTCTCCAACAGGATCCCTATGAATTAGAATTGACTTGTCAGAACCGAATCAAGTAACAAGCAACAGCAGTAAACAACCGTCCGTACAGCTTTTCAGTCTAGAAGGTTAGGGAAATTCCAGGGCTGGACAGTGGCTTGAGGATGGGAGGAAAGAAGTGGAATGTCATTAGCAATTTACTAGAAGAAAAATATGTATCTGTCGGCACTTTGGGGTTAGTGAAGAAAAAAAAAAGTATTAATAATGTTACCCGGGAGAGCTAGATGTGGTCCTTTGAAGTTCTTCTGCAAAGAACAGGATTTCCTGCACTATGTGCTAAATGATGGTGGGAACACATATGGCATTTGGGGTGGTTGCGTCCATCACATTACACCTTTCCCAGATTTCTGATTTCTAAATCCTGACCACACAGTTTGTCGGCAGTCCAGATGAAAATGGCACCTGGCTTAGACTGTGTGTCGACTATGTCACGGAATCCCAATCGTGCACGAACAGGCTTATGTATATACGCAAGTCCAAAAGCTCCTCTTATATACTGGAAGGTTCTCCTGACATGAGAAAACATTGTGGCTGGTTAAAATAAGATGAAAGAAAAATGGTGATTTGTGTTGGAGTGTCAATGCAGGGATATATGTTAGCTCTTTTCATAGGATCTAGAGATCTAGAGAATCTAACTAGAAATTAAGATGAAAATATCCTTGTGTTACTGCTTTCAAAAATGAACCTTGCAAATGTATTTCCCTGCATCTTGATGAGGTGAATTAGCAGTCGCTGTTTCTTGCATTGTGGAAATTCTCAAAATTTTCCATCTTGCTCATGTTGTTGTTGGCTGTGGAATTGGTTTCTGATTCATGATGCCCTGGAAGGACAGAGAATTATCCCATAGGGTTTACAAGCTTGTACTTTATGGAAGTAACCTGCCTCCTCTTCCTCCTGCTAAGTCGCTGTTGGGTTTGAACTGTTGATCTTTTGGTAAACAGTTGAGCATGTAGTCACTATGCTACCAGTGCTTCTTATCTTGCTTATAGCTCCCTCCATTTCCAAAAATAAAGTCAAAGCTCCGAGGATTTCCAACTCTCATTTGAGAATTACTTCCATATGCCTTGGTACTTGGGGGTTAGCAATATAGTTTTGCAATTTAATTTTTTTTAATCACAAACTGGAAATTCACAAGCAAAAATATAAAATGGATGAACCATTCAGTCAACCTCAGAGAAATCTTCCTGGCTCTCAAGCTGACCATGCTCCATTTTTAACACCCGGTCTTGGAATATCCTGTTTCCACTGCCCCATTGCCCTTCCTGATTTTATCTTCAATCTCAACTTAACCATCATGTGGGAATTGATGGTTAATTGATGGTTAATTTCTCTGACTTCCCCAGTGATGGACATTCTACCCTCTCCCTACATCAAAGGACTTTTAAAAGTTTGCAATTTTTGTGATTATACAATTAATATCTGATTCTCCCACTAGACTATAAGCACAATGAGAGAAGGAACTAAAAACCTGATTTTACTCCACATTGCTTGGCACATAGTGGGTGCTCAACAAATATTAGTTGTGTGAGTGAGTAAACTATAGTATACCATTCCTATTGATTGCCTCTGGACAATTTTTGAGAGTGATAACTTCATGTCTATTGAACTTAGAATCTGAGTGTATGAACACAGTGATAGTTTTAGATGTTGTGTTGTAAAGAGTTAACCATACCCAAAGAGATGACTGGCCTTTGTTGGCTTCTCCTGGAAGGTGATCTGTAGGAAGAACATCTTTATTTACCCAGGAGCCTTGGTACATGCCAGAAAGCTTAACTATGTGGTTTGATGATGTGACTCTGAATCACATGGTATCAACTTGACACCCTGAGGGGCTAGAGATTAAGGTATCTGCTCTACCTCCAGAGATTCTAGAGAATTAAGTTGGCTACATAGGCTGTCAACCACGGTGCTCAAATAAAAACTTTGGACTCCCACCAAGGCTTCGACGAGCTTCCCTGGTAGACAATATTCCACACATATTGTCATACATCATACTGGGAAAATAACTCTTCCCATGATTCTACTGGGAGTAGACAACTGGAAGATTTACGTTCAGAACTTTACTTAGACTCTAACCCATGAGTCCCTTCCCTTAGCTGATTTGAATCTGGATCCTTTTGCTGTAACAAACCAGAATCATAAATACAACTGCTCTCAGTAGTTCTGTGAGCCTTTCTAGGGAATGACCAAATTTGAGAGTAGCCTTGGGAATTTTCTGAGCTCCAAAGTATATCTCAGAAGTCAGTCTTCTGTGTATTGTACGTCCTAGCCTGGCAAATGCTAAGGTACATAATGAAATTATTGGTTAGAGAAATACAGAGAATCAGAAATATGAAGAAAGTCATAAAGACAGTTATATATATTGGAAAGCATTAAACAAACTTTTGTAGTAGATGCCAAGAGGAGATCTTCAAGTTTTGAGCACTTTGGCTCAAATGATGGAATAACCATTGTTTATCTTCACCAGGAAAACAAATAAATAAAAAATCTGGCTGATGCTACAGCACAAAGAACTTGGTAATGATTTCACCAAAGTAAATAAGATTAAAAAAAAAAAAAAAAGTTTAAGAATCCTCTTCTCTGAGAATCACTAGAAAGAAGAAAAATTACTGCCTAGGAATATATTTTAGATGCTCTTCCAAAGGAAATGAAAGGACTAATATTTTACGTCAGCTCTTTGATTCTGTGAACTCCACCAGAAATGGAAAAAATCTTGAAAGCT